GTTTTGTTCTTGAGTCTGACAAAAACTCACCGGACGATTTTCGCATTCTAGAAAAGGACAAGTCAGCACACAGTCCTTCAGTGGGATCTTCCCTCGCTGACACGAGTCTCTTCTGCCTCCTTCGTATTTATAATACAGCAGCTTGTCTGGCATCAGCACAAACCAGCGAGCCTTCCAGTTGTGCACAATATGACCCTGAAAGATGGAACAGTTATACAATCTTTATTTTGTCAGATAATATTGACACCATGGGATCATAGTGTAAACAGTTGCCTATGTTGTAGACTTCCTGGATTTCATATCAGCCCAAGACGAAGCCAAAACTCTTTCCAAATACATCTGTAACTTTTTTCCACACAGACTCAAATCAAAACTTCACAGCACAACATCTCTCACCCTCTTCACCAGGAATCCTTCTCTTAGAACTGCGTGCTTCTTGTCTGCATCCATGACGTCCAGCAACTGAGCTTTGCCTGTTCCTGCCTGTACAGGTAATAAATGTTGAGCTGAGATTATTCCCCTAAACTCAATGTGTCACACTGTTCACACCCAGACACACACACACACAGACACACACCTTGCTCAACATTTGAGTGGGCGACTCAGGCACTTCTGCAATTTCTGCCCATAATCACATGAGGGTGCAGTGACTCCTTCTCCGTGGTGTCTAAAGATGTTTTTGATGACGACTCATGTTTCCTGGAACATTTTCACACCTCAACAATTTAATTCTCCGTTGTTTTCAGCATGAAGAGAATCCACATCCTGCAGGAAACAACCTCCGACCACTTCATTCTTTTTTTATCCCATTTTGATGAAAAACGAACAGCTGGTGGTCGACCACATGCACATGTTGAACCTGCTTAGTGAGAATCGTGGGCTTGTTGAGCATGAAAGAGGATTGTTACTGAGACCACATGTGGTCCTGCAGAGCTTACTTATTAATTAATTATTTTCCTGGTTCCTGGTTCTTACACGAGAAAGAACAGAATGAGAAAGAAAAGGAGCGTCTTTAAATGGAGCATGAAAATGACTCACAGAGTTTTTATTCTGCAGGGTCCTGCTGTGGTGCGTGTTACTGGGTCACTTGAATAAAACTGAGTTATGCATGTTCATATCCTGAGTGCATCAGCAAGTAACAAAGAGTAAAAGCCTTTAGTTATTGTATTGTTAGGGAGATTTAACTACAGCTACAGCTTCACTATAATCTTTTCTCCTCTCTAAGTGTGAAAATAGGAACTTTTAATGAGAGAAAATTACTGGTACTCAAGTTAAAAGCTCATATCTTAACTTGAATTGAATACTGTAAATTCCTGAAGGTTTCCTCTATGTTGCCTCCAAAACCCAGCAGGAAAAAGACGGGATAGATGATCTTCCTGAAGGGATCAAAGTAAAAACCTTCATGCATGGATCCCTTCTACATTCTGCAAGAAAAAAAATCTGGCCAAGCTGCTATAATGTTGATTTTAGTTTCGTGCAGATACAGTATATTAACTTTATCTGTCTGTCTGTCTGCTAGTTAGCAGGATTTCACAAAACACTGCTGGACAGATCATCACGAAACCTGGTGAAAGGATGTGATGTAGGTCAGAGACGTACCCATTACATTTGATGCAGATCAGAGTCAGGGGGCAGAATATTCCATCACTTCCAACATAGTGAGAATGGGCATTGGTAACATTTTCCTTGATTTTCCTTGAAACCTTTATTTTATCTGAAAACCAGTTAAGGATCATTCATGTGATGAGGGTGAGTTCTCCTCACTCCTGCGGACCCCTGGACCCCCCCAGTGTGTCTCCACAGTGAGGAAACCTGCACACAGAAGCATGTGCTTATGAGACAACTGGAATGTGTTGCAGACTCAGTTCGGCAAACAGCCAAACGAGCGTCAGGGGGAGAATCTGTTAAACACATAGAGGAAACAATAACCCCAAATCCTGTTTCTGAGACTCAAGCACCTTCGCTGAGCTGAAGACAAACAAACTCCTCTGAGCTGAGAGCCAGCGATAAGTCGAGTCACAGGTGAAGGTGTGTCTGGAATGCCCTCTGTGTAACATTAACCATAAATCAAACATTAATTACGTAAAAGAAGAGATGATGGTTTTTTGGCACACAAGGATATGGAGGCTTCTGACGCAGATCAGCTCACGTGGAGAGCCCGGTTGTCCTGGTCACACACACTTAAAATGCAAACACTCGCTGGACTTTATTCTTGGTCCACAGACTTATTGTTCGCTGGGCGTGTGTTTGTGTGTCCACGTCTACAGCTGGTTAAACGGAGCATGTTGTTACTCTCATTCTCCATGAGGCTGAAATGGAGACGGGAATCCATCTGGGATAATAACACTGAGGGGGTTTTAATCACAAATGCAACAAATTTTCCAGACAAAAATGTTTCTTCAGGCTCAAAAACCGATGATTTGAAAACCGAAGATGGTTTAAATTTCCCAAAGCTTCATTAATTCCACTAATTTCCGGTGATAATGACTATGCTGCAGTTTGCAAAACATGGACACTTTCAAAAGAAATAAAACTCCACACTTTCTAAAATTGCTGCAGCGGGAAATAAACATATATGTGTGTATTCTATGGTTACTCCTCAGTAGTTGAGGATGAGATTGTCCATATAGAGCATTAGATTGTCTTTTAAATAAAAGGTGAAATGGAAAAACAAGATGCTGCACTGTTTGACTTGAGATTTCTCAATCTGTGGCCTCTTCAATAAAGAGTGACATGGTGACATAGTGGTTTATGGTTGTTGACCTACTTTACAAGTCCTGCTCACTGTGTGTATTGGGTAGTTATTGCTGAAAAAAGACCGTGGCCTGGTTTCCTTCCACGTGCTGCAAATGAAACACTAAAGAAAATCCATGTGTCAGTGATTAAAAACTGTGTCTTGTTTACTTGATTCTTCTGAAAACCAAAGGTGCTTAAATAATGTACTTCTTTAAATAAACACACACAAACTAACTTCATGTTATAGCTACTTTAATTGTCAGTGTTTAACATTAAATACATACAAAATTAAATAGCTATATATCAAAAGCATACAACTAAGTATTTGTAAATCTGCTGCAGTATTGTACAGTAACGTGACGTCCTACAAAGTTAAATTCTAGCTCACCTCTTAGAGAACTAAACAATGAGTCTGCTGATTTTCTGTTTTCTCTATTTGTCAGTGAATCCCAAGAAAAGACCAAAACCAAGAGTGAGTCGATCAGAGAGCGACAGCGTTTAGCTGCTGGGGTCACGTGTTCCTGCTGCTAGAAATCTATGTAAAAGACAACATGTATATTAATCCACATGTGAATTAGTCCAGAAAAACCCACTGTTTACTCCCATTGAACTAAAAAGTAACTGAAGACGAGACTCTCCAGCTATTTGACCCACTTTTAAAGACGAACGTCTGCAGTAGAAATCAAAAAGAAACTAGAGAGACTAGCCTGGAGATGGTTTTGGTCTTTTTATGGGTTTGTTGACAATAAGAAAACAGAATTGGCAGAATTATCCTGTCAGAGGAGTTTCATACATTAACACTTTCTCTGTAAACCTCCTGTCCAGCCAAAAGTGATGCAGCCTTCACTAAAAATATATAAGACTTACAAAACACAGCAGTATATACAGCTCAATGCTATGCAGCTCAATTCATGTGAGTCAAACTAAGGCTCTATTGTTGTTTTAGAAATTTTATTTTCTGCACAAAATCCTCATGAAATACTTTGTTCTAAACCTGTAATTACAAACAATCACCTGCAGCACCTTCATGGAAACCTGCTCCCCCACTGCCGTCTGAGCACGTTCAGTATTTTACAGTCTGGTCCATGAGTGAGTCAACTGTGTGTCAGCGACTGAGGCCGCTCGACCGGGAAAGAAAGCAGATGTGGCCTGACTCGACAGCATCTGCAATACGTGAAGAGGAAGTCAGAGGAAGAGGTTCAGGAAGCGCTCAGCCGGTGCCACGCCGTCACCACTTTCTCTGGGTGAGCCATCATGTCCTTCCACCGCTCCACAGCCTCTGGTACTGGGCTGTCGAGTCCCAGCTGAACCTGAGAGGAACAACGACAAGATCACCTCAAAACATCTGCAAAACTTTTTCTCAAGTTGATCCCACAACATATTTTAAAGAAAGATATTTTACTTTTTAAAAGAATATTTTACTCTCCACAACAATCAATGAAAGTAAAATATACAAACACATGATATATAAAACAGGTGAACTCACCTGTCCGAGACACTGTTTCCTCCTGACTGAGCTGCGACTGTAGAGTTTGACCGACAGCGAGCAGGCGTCGTCCAACATGGCCAGTTGGAAGTGAAAAGTCTCCGCCCACTTACACTGACCCCCTGAGGCCTTCATCACCCGCGTCTTCTTCTTCATCAACACCTGGCCCAAGTGGTGCATCTCGGCCTTGACGAAAAAGGCTTCAGACGGACAGAGGAGAGCAGGTCACAGTCAGCGGGGACACAACAGTCACTCGTTCAAAGACCAGCTCCAATCACACCTACCTTGTGTGAGCGGTGAGGAGGATGCTGGGAGGTTCTGGGCAGCGAGGATCTGGAGCTGGATGCGACTGTTGACCGGCTGGAAGCAGGTGGTGAGATGCAGCTCAGAGTGACAGACCTGAAACAGATTTTTCACTCAGATCTGTCATGTGCGTTTTGGATTTTATTCAATATACAGCTCATACTTTTTTACAGTTTTTTTATTTACTCTAAATAAAAGATTCATTACAACCTGACCGATGGATTGTTCGAGCCTGGTGCTGATATTTGGGATATCCATTAATAAGCATATTGAAAAGGACAATTCTGCTGGTGGACACTGAGCAAAGAAGTTAGCTACTGGTCTTCAGAGTGTGTTCGGACCTGGTCACACATGCACAGATGATTTGGTCCGGACTAAAATATCTCAACCACTCCTCACAGAAGCCTGGTTTCTCACTGTGACCTTCCCACAGCTGACTCCTCTGCACTGCTTCTCTCCAAAATGCTGTTGATGTTTTTCATTTTACAGACGTTGAAATTGTTTGGGCCCTGAGAGCCTCCACTGAGTGGTCGTGATTTGGACAATTCGGCTCTTTTGTGTCCACCAGATTGGATAAAATCACCGACGGATTGAAGCTGTCCCTCTGATAATCGATGGATGATTCACCGCCCTGCACGTCACGTTATACAGGACGTGTGCCCGTTTATCAGCAGAGCCACTCTCTGGTTTGAGGTTTGACCCATTTTCCAGGTCTTACATTTCCTTTCTGCAATAAAGAGCCTGTTTCCCAATTTCACTTGATAATGAAATATCTTTCTACTGTGGTTATGCAACAACACAAAGTTTGGCTCTGCTTCAATATTACCCAGAAAGTACAGCGGGCCTGTGGGCTGCAATACATCTCGAGGACAGTTTTATGAGGCACACACTGCGCTGTGTTCGCACACAACAGGCTCATAAAAGCCAGCAGCCAACAGAGGAAATGATGGAGAATAAGCAGTAAAAGTTTGGAATATTCCCACACAGAGTTTTTCCTCGTTGCCTCAACAGCTGGACAGTGACAAATACATCAGCTGCTGCAGCCGAGAATAGATGAGGTTGATTCACAAGCAGCCATCACGAAGGTCGGACTTTGAACCGAGCATTAATTACTACGGTGGGTTCAGTGTGAGTCAGCAAACATTTTGCTCTCTGAAATTTAAAGATCGACTTCCACCATCAACAGTTAATGACCACAGACTATAAATAAAGATGGACAACAACATGAGCTTTCTAAATGTGAAGCCAAAACATTTTGAGCTCCCCCTGGTGGCTGCGGTATACGCCATAAACCATCATCCTCCATGTTAGTAGATGGGACATGTGCCAGACTAAAAAGTTAAAGTACACATCAAATATATTTCCTAAAGATGGATTCTGTCTTTGAGGATAGTTCTCATCACACTGAGGTTCAAGTGTTTCTGGTCAGTTTGGTTTTAATTAGTTATTTGACGGCACCTGCAGCCAGGATATTTCAGCTTGTGCAAAGGGACGAGGTGGAGATGGTTCGTCACATCAGACTTTAAAGCAGTCACCAGTCGTTAGTGCCACGTTCCCAACTCGTAACATGTGAAGAAAACACTCACAGAGGATTTGGACGGAGAGTTGAGGTCGAGCCAGTGGTCCGTCTCCTGAGGACCGAGCTGTCGCAGGGAGAGGACACATTCTGCCACCGTGCGTTTCTTGGGGTTGTGCGCCTGCAAACGCAGCACTAACGCACTGCAGCGCAACTGCTGGAGACGGAGCGCAAACACAAATGTCTCCATGAAGGACACGTCCTGAAGAGGAGAAGGAAGAGAAAGTAAAGATTAGACAGTTTCTACCACAAGTCACCCAGGGCAAAATAAAAAGTTCATTTCCTTTTATTCTAAGAATGGAAATGAGTTGATTTTAAGTGAGTACATTTAAGAGTTTATAACCTGTGTCATATCATAAACAAACATAAAGTCAACCTTCATGTATCTTACAGAACACGTCTGTATTTCGAACACGTTACCTGACTGTACTCCTTCACTGAGCTCTTGAACTGAATGGGTTTGGGGATGGTGATGATCCCTTTAAATCCAACCTTCGGTTGTTCTGCTCCGTCCGACTGAAGGTTGAGGTCTGAACACTTGAAGGAAAAGAAGAATGAGAAGAAGTTAGTGGAAGCAGGTCAAAAGGTTTTTATAAAGAATCAGAGGCTAAAGCACAGAACAAACTTTTCAAAAGAGAATCGAATACAGAAAAACTAAAGAATCCAGAACAACAACATATTAACTTTGTGGAAAGATGGAACATGGGCCAAGAAGGAACCCTTTATTTTTGGGTAGGAAGTTGGTGCTCCTTTTTCATTAATGCTCCTGTTCCTTGAGGAATAAGAGCACGGCCCTGCACCATAGATGTTCAACACTCTCACTGTCTCCGCTACACTTGATCACTGTGTTTTCATCAGGACACTTCTATTTAAGAGTCAACCTTTTCCTTCCGAACCGTCCGAGCCAAAGTTAATAGAGCGGCGAGAGGGGCGAACAGAGACCTGTGCTCTGGACAGAGGCCCCATTGAGAACAAGTTACAGAGGAGCACAATGGAGGTTTTTGTTCCGCTGTGTTCACTCGTCATCTCGGAGTGTAACCTCACCTGCACCAGGGTGATCCACACCTGCTCCAAAGCCTCCTGGTAGTTCAGTCGCACGCATACCTTCCCCAACTCCCGCTCATCTCCAGACAGGGTGATGGAGTCTGTACCGGAACAACAATATGATATAATGAAGTTAATAAGAAGATGTTGAGGGAAGTTTAAAAGGTTTTTGGATAAAGTTTAATGTTTTGTTTGGTTTAATTAATTCAAATAATGAAATTCTTTGTGCTTTCTTTGCTTGTTTTCTTTTCATTTAAGGAAAAGGTATAAAGTGTCTTTACATCCACACTTGATTCTTCATATGATGCTGTTTGTCATGGCAGAGCAGGACATTCAAAAAACAACGTTATCTCCATACAAATGATTTATTTAATATCACAACAAGCTGATTGACCTCGTGAATAACACAATCATTATGTAACAATGGAAATGATTAGTGTGTCTGCTCTTTTATGTTTGCACAATGCCGAGTGATTTTAATCCGACTTAGTCATGTATTAGAAAAAAACAGGGAGGCAAGAGGAGGGAGAGAGAGAGTTTCTTTTCTCCTTCATCAACAATAGAAGGGCCGGTCGACAGCGTGGATCCAGAATGAAAGTGTTTTGCAGATAACGTGGAGGTAAATGTGTGTTTCACTTACCCAGGCTGCTTTCAACAGAGCCCATCACTGAAGACGAGCTGGTGACGACACTGGGGACGGAGTCAAAGAGCTGCAGAACAAACAAAGTAAAACTTTATCATTTGATGGAGGTTGTATCTAGAATCACTCACTCTGTACAGGGAGCTTCATGTCCAGCACGATATAATGAGCTCATTGACAAAATAAACACTCTCTGACTCATCTTGGGTCTTTTTCTCGACATCAGTGTTGTCGCACAGTTAACTCCTGTCAGATCAATGAGAGTACATATTACAGTGAGTGTATCTTCTCACATGAATACATAAAAAAATGTTTGTGTCTGTTCGATCTTTTTTCTCTTTTGCCACTGAGAAACAGACTCTGGCTTCAGATTAGAAGATGGCAGCGTTCGTATCCTGGAGATTTCTGCTTCAGTTCTGGATAGTGGGTGGAGGTGGACATGCATCGTCCCTCTTCATACAGAGTCTCTGGTTGTTTGCATGAAGGTATTTGGTCATAAAACCAAAGTCAGAGGATCATTACAACAAGCTCGGCTGAGGAGCGTCCTCCTCCCTGCTCTCTCTAGAAACAGCAGTTTATTTGTTTATTGTTAAATCTATTGCTGCTGTGACTTTTATGCTTTCATCACTGACTACTGTTTGGTCACTGCGATGCCAAATTAAACATTTGCACTAACTGAACTGAACCTGTAAACCCACTGCATGTGACCTCAATAAGCCGGACATCAACAGACGTGACGGCAGAAACACAGAATATCAGTTATTTCAAACAAACAACATGTTCGTGTTTACCACAGTGTGGGCCTGAATGAGACGGTTTTAGTGTTTGCTGAGGTTCCGTGTGATCGCTTCACACACGACCTCAGATATTCATGTCAATTAATAATGAGCTGTTGACAAATGGCACCACATCCTTTATATGACAAAGAAACACACCCCGGCTCTGTCATTGTTTCATTTAGGGCGATTAAAAAGCTCTCGGTCCAAGACAATCAACAGGTACCTTCCAGATCAGAGAGGCTGGATCTGTGTATTCTGTAATTCATCTCCCGTCGCCTTATAGTCAAAGTTAAAGAAGATATACGGAGGCATTAATGAGACATAGAGCAAAATCTAACGACAAGTTGTACGACTGATGTAATAAAGTCGAGGGACACTGTTTAAAATAACGTCATTCCGTCAAACTTAGATCAGAAGGTAAAATTAAAATTAACTCCATTAAAACTCGGAGCTCGGAATAACAACCCCTGAAAGTCGGAAGGTCGGAGGAACCTCACCATCCCCTCTGTGTATATTAACAGCAGTGAAAGCTGTAGCTTTAACTTCTTCTGTTATATAATTCTTCGTACACATGGTACTGTTCAAAAACTTTTTGATTTGAAGTGGGCCTCCATACGTCCTCCTCTCAGTCATAGTAAATTATTCGAATGTACCACTATTATTAAGTATTCAAAGTTTTTACTGTCCTTAGAGAAATCAAGAATAATTTACTTTCAGATGTCGGCCTGCCTCCGTTCTGTTTCAACACCTCAGGGTGAAATGACCTCGAATCAAAATACTGCTTGTTTGGCTCGTCGGCAATTTTCCACCACGCTGCTCAGGACAGTGGAAACTATAAAACTATATTTAGTCTTGGTTGACACGGGGTGAGAAACGCTGTGTGAACACAGATTAGATAGAGAGCGCTCTCACCTGTATGTGACTCTGAGGACTGGACAGATCAAACATGGAGCTGCTCAGACGCTGCTGGACGCCTGGCTTCAGACTCAAACCTGGGGGGGGGGGGGGGGGCAATAATAATAATAATAGTTATTATTTCTCATTTTTACATTTACAGCACTTGTCTCTCAACAGCTGCAAAGATACTGTATCCAGCCTAACAGTTATATAATGATAAACATGTATTGTATTTGCAATCAATACCATTTATTTTGAATATTCCGTATCTCACCACGCCGTATCTCAATTTCAAACTTTTTGGGGAGATCGTTCTGTAGAAATGATTTGGTGTAAACTTTATACATATGGATAAAGTTGTGGTCAGTGTGTGCAGAAGGTCACGGCTACCTGTGCTTGGAGGACTGGAGCTCTCGTTCTTCAGCATGTCGCGGCGGGTCGAGCCGGGGGATATGTACTCGGCCACCTGACCCTGGTGGAAGCTGGACTCTGGGTTGTAGGCGAAGTGACTGGAGCCCAACAGCTCTGCCTTCCTCTCTGCGTACGTGCACCGAGCTGAGTCTGCAGACAGGGAGCAGCGCTGCAGGTTAGCAGGCCTCCATTTTGACCAGATTCCACTAGAAGACTATTGATTTAGAAACAGGACGTCCTGGTCCTCTCACATTATACCTCAGTAACCACTGAGCTGATTTTAATGAAACTCTGAGGCATTGTGGTAACTGTGAGTCTCCAGCGCTCAGGTTGAGTAAACATGTGAACCTTCACCCTAACTAACCCAGTTTGAGGTAAACACGTGCCGCACATGTTATTCCATGTCTTTGCACTTCAGGCTGCAACATGATGAACTCATTATAACGTTCAGTAATTACTTGTCATAGTTACGAGTTCCTGAAAAGTCAACGTGTCTTTATTGTGCACCACATTATGGAATCATCTACACACATAATGATCCAATGTGTTAGCTGACAAAGCCAACAGAGGCCTGATGGCTCTATAGATTTAATCTAAGAGAGCTAACAAAGGTAACAGAGCATAGACGGAGTAGTTTCAGTCCCTTCAACTAAGCAAACTGAAATAAAAAAGAACCAATACTGAAAATAACTCGAAACATTCACTCAATAGATCGAAACCTCAACCACTGAACCTGAGTCAAGCTGCTGCAAATTTCAGTTTTTGTAGATATCAGTTTCCTAAATGTCTCATGTTTTGTTGTTTTGTACGACTCCTGGGGAAAAGGGTGAATATGTTGGTAATAAAGAAAATCCTGGATCAGCAACTAAATTTAGCACATATCCTTCTGTTTACTTCTGTTTGTGTAACATTATGAAAAAACTAAGGGACTGGGGTGAAAACTAATCACCTTGACGGAGGTATTAAGTTAACAAACTGAACAATAACAAAGGAGGGACATCAGCTCCAGTCTCCTGTGAGTGTGTTTACCTCCTCCACCTCCTCCACCTGCACCGTGTGAGGACTCAGATCTCCCCTGACCTCTACAGTGTTGAAGCCTTCGGAGGTAAACTTCTCCCTCCAACGGCTGCGGGAGGATTTATTACCATTTGTTTCTTCTGATTGAATGCATTTTAAAAAGTAGCAGCTACACATTGTGCAGTCAGTGTCTTCAGAGACACTCAGATGTCAGCATTATTTACCGACCCAGCCAAAGTCAACACAATCATATGAAACCGGTTTCTAAATTGTTGCTCACCACAGCCTGTTTGCCTACATGATGAGAACAATCTCATGGTATTCCAGCTTTTTGCCGTCGGTACGTACTGTGCAGCCCGGACTGTAAAGTGGGGAGGCGGGGGGAGCCTCTGGGCTGGATGAATGAGGCCTTGAAGGTCGGCAGGACAAACGGCACCTCCCTGCCATAAGGAGGCAGCTTGGACAGGAGGTAATCTTCTGTGACCCCCCTCCTCACCTCCTCTGGCTCCTGTCCTGAGGTCAGCGCCTTGGTAGGAGGCATCTTCAGTTTGATCACTTGGAAATGGAAAAAAGTTCACAATCAGAAACACCAACAGTCTGTTAGACATGCAGCCGAGCCGGGCGTCCGCTCACCTTGGGTGTCATACTCCCTCCCCTTCCTCTTCAGAAAGTTCTTGCAGCAGTTTTTCAGGCACTCCATGGCTGCACTCGTTATCAGGAGGTGGTCTCACTTCAGATTGGTATAAACACAACAAATTCAATATTGTTTGATCCCAAACATCAGTAAAGCCGCAAATATGAGCTGAGATAATCCCAAAGTCTGTCCATTAATCTCTGGTCACCCAGGTTTCATTTCATACAATCCCACGCTATTTTTCTTCAGTGCCTTTAAATGTTATGGCAACCACAATCAATTAACTAAATCCCATAATGCATCATTGTGTCCAGATTCTGAAATTTTGATAAAGTCACTTAAATACTCCAAAAACTTGAATAAACCCACAATCTGGTTAAATCTATAATGAAATGGAAATTATGTCAAAACTTGATACCGTTGCTCAGTTTAAATAAAGTCCACAAAATGTGATTATTTGTATCTGCAACACATTCGACCTTCACATATTTTCACATTTTTGTCTCAGGCCTATGAAGGAATTTCTTTCAGTGTAAACGAGCCACATTCTCAAAACAGGAAACAGCAGCTTCACTACTTCTTTGTACAAAAGCTTAAGAAAGTGGAAAGTTACCTCTGCGATGATTTCAGTGAGAGAAAATGATGTTTGTACATCCAGTGTTGTTCATTCTCAGAGGCCGACTGAAGAGAAATGCCTCCGAGCTCAGGTTTACTGAGCACTTCACTCACAGGTCTCCCTCTCTCCCTCTCTCCCTCTCTCCCTCTCTCCCTCTCTTCCTCCCTCCCTCCCTCCCTGTTCCTTTCTTCTCCTCTCTCACTACTCGAATCTCTAATTCCCGGACAAACACTTTGTGTGTCTCCTTCCCCGAACAGACCATGACAGCACCACTCTGGGTTTTTACTTTTGGTCACCACTTATAGTCACTGCGTTATTTTATTTTTCCTCTTCCTTAATCAATATCCCAGCAGTCTGCATCAGACTGGTGGGAACTCGATCATCACACAGGTCAGCAGATCTTAACTAACTGACCTGGTTTACTGACATTTTCTTATGGAGGGAATAATGATAAAACGTCTACTCAGTGAGGACATGTATTGTGTGTTGACACCCAAAGATCCTTGATTATCAGGGTCTCAGATGTTTTATAGTTTTCCAAAAACTCCCGAAATTTCCAATTATCCCTCAAAACTGGCTAAACTAACTGATTTAATCCCACATCTTGATTTAGCAAGAGAACCAAAAAATAGTTTAGGGTTTAAAATATGAGTTGATATAATCCCATGATGTCTGATGATATCCCAAATCTGTAATTTGATATGACCCTTAATTTTTTCGTTTACAGTAGAGTTAAATTATTACGTAAAAAATTAAACGTAATATTCCTAAAAGATAATATTGTGCATCTAAATCCCCCAAATTTGCTTTATTTCCCCCAAATTTGTAAAATTCAGATTTGTATTGGATTGAATTTGATTGCACAATTTTTTGCAACCACCCAACAGCATAAAATTATAATCCCCCAAAAAACAGTGTGTTGTTATGATCCCACATTCTGCTCTGATATCATCCAAACTCACATTTGAGTAACATGATGCGTCTAAAGCCTCCAAACTGTTCAATAATTCATTGTTATACAAAATTCCTCGAGATTTGGTTTAGTGTCTCTGAAACGTTTATTTGATTGAATTTCATCCAACAGGTTTTTAGAGCCTCGTTAACTTCTAACACTGTAATCCCAGAACTGACTGTATCTTTAAGAGTCCAGGATCCTGCTCATGTTCGAGTCATTTCTGTGGTAAAGACATTTATTGAACTTAAAGAAACCGGGATCAATAATTCAGCTTATGACTGATTGTTACATCATTTCAAACACAACATCTCCAAATGCACAATTACACTTCTGCTCAGATAAGCTGCTCGTCCCGTCCCGTAAAAATACGAGCTCAGAGGGACTCACGCTCGAGATTCAACGACAGCTCTAAAACACTCACAGCTTATCTGAAGGGATGGAGATTCACAGACAAGTGGGGGAAACTGTACTGAGATTCAGTGAGGGCCACTTTCAGGTCATTTTCTAAATAGAGGAGGTTAGAAATCGTTACTATAAATATCCCTCTGTGTTGAAAGAACATCTCGCAGCTCTAAAAGCTCAGTGTCCATTAAACCAGGGTGGGGATTCAAGCGCAGGGATGCTTTCCCATCAGCTGACTCTTTATCGGACGTGTCTTTATTGACAGGATGAGGATGACATAACGTTTAAAAAGAAAAAAAGTGATGAGCTGTCTCAGACACCAGAGCATTACATCAGCTGCAGTGATTCTCTGGGACGATGAAGTTCACGTGGGACGCTCAGAACGGGTGCTCCGATACAAATATCGTCAGGCGGATGATGGAGCTGCCTCGGAAGTTGATGACGTTGTTGACGGTGACCATCTCCAAATCCAGCACCACCTCCTTCGGGCCCTTGATCGGCCGTGACAAGACCAGGGTGGCGCTCACGTTACTGGTTTGCTACGATATGAAGAAGAAACGAGACGTGAGGGATGAAGAGGAGGAAGAAGTGAAGTGAGACATCTGTACAGTCACTGAGCTCAGTGTGTAGCTGAGTTTACTGTTTCCACAGCATGTTGATTTGTCATAGTAGGAAAAACACAGCTCTTACTAACAACATGACATGTCTGTGTTTTTCTACTGTAACATGTCAAAATGTCTTCTGTGAAAAATGGGCATGGAAATGTAAACAAATGACATTACAGCAGAATTATTCATGTTTCACACCCTTGACATGGTCTTTTAACTCGGTATGTGAGTTTTATAACCTCAAATCTTTTTGTTTGTATGAAACGTGGCACACCTCAGACGTTACGTAATGATGAAACATGGGTTGACGGGTAAATTGGTGTTGTGACTCAAACATGTGACTCTTGATGAATAAATGTGTGTTTGGGTATTAATCATCTTTCAGTGACAGATTGAACGCTTGTATTTGCTGACCTCTGGTGGTTCAACCTGCTGCAGAGTGTGTGTGTGTGTGTGTGTGTGTGTGTG